GGGGGGTGCTATTGGGATGATTTTTTTTTTTTAAATAAAATTATCTAAATGCATCTAGAGTGCTGGCTTTTTTAAAATTTTTAATCACGGGTTGGCGAGAGTCAGCTTCCGTGTGGGCCTTGTGAGGTCTCACCTGCTTTGGATTCATTCATTAATTGATTCAAAGAGTGCACCATGGCCGGGCGCGGTGGCTCACGCCTGTGATCCCGGCACTCTGGGAGGCCGAGGCGGGAGGATCGCTCAAGGTCAGGAGTTCTAGACCAGCCTGGGCAACATAGCGAGACCCCATCTCTACTAAAAATAGAGAGAAATTAGCCAAACAACTAAAAATATATAGAAAACATTACTCAGGCACGGTGAGACGTGCCTGTAGTCCCAGCTACTTGGGAGGCCGAGGCAGGAGGATCGCTCGAGGTCAGGGGTTCGAGATCAGCCTGGGCAACATAGGAGACCCCGTCTCTACTAAAAATAGAGAGAAATTATCTGGACAACTAAGAGCATATAGAAAAAATTAGCCGGGCATGGTGGCGCATGCCTGTAGTCCCAGCTACCATGGAGGCTGAGGCAGGAGGATCACTTGAGCCCAGGAGTTTGAGGTTGCTGTGAGCGAGGCTGACGCCACACCACTCTAGCCCGGGCTACAGAGCGAGACTCTGTCTCAAAAAAAAAAAAAGTCCGCCATTTGCCACACACCCTCTAGCTCCCGGGCATCCAACACGGATCGGACAGATTTGGGTCATGTCTGCGTATTCTGGTGGCAGACAGACAACGAACATGCAAGCGGCTCGTGAAGAATTATTTCAAGAGGTATAAAGTGCAGAAAACGGCACACTGGGACGGAGCGACCCCTTTAGCTCCAGGGTCAGGAAGGACCTCTCTGAAGAGGCGACGTTCGTGGTGAGACCTGCAGGAAGAATGTCCTCACATGGAAGGCACAGCAGGTGCTAAGGCCCTGGGGTAGGAACTGGCTTGGCAGGTTCAAGGAGGATAAAGGAGATCTGGAAGGGGGCTGGGGTGCTATTGGGATGAATTTTTTTTTTTAGTAAAATTATTTAAATGCACCTAGAGTGTTAGCTTTTTTTTTTTTTTT